GGGAGGAGGCCCCGGGGAAGACCCAGGACACGCTGGAGGGACTATGTCTCTCGGCTGGCCTGGGAACGCCTTGGCATTCCCCCGAAGGAGCTGGAGGAAGTGTCTGGAGAGAGGGAAGTCTGGGCATCTTTGCTTAGACTGCTGCCCCCGCGACCCAGTTCTGGATAAGCAGAGGAAAATGGATGGATGGATGGATAATATTGTATCCTGTCTTTTTCGATTCATATTTATGTTCAAAAAACATTTAGTTTTAGTCTGTTCAATAAATGTTTATCCTGTTCGGCCCGCGACCTAAATTGTGCTTTGAGTTTTGGCCCCCTGTGCGATTGAGTTTGACACCCCTGATCTACTGCATGCCTACTCTTAACAACAATGATTTGTTTATGTTTCATGGTACTGCATTTCATTCCTTATGTTCTTTATCATGATACACATTTCTACACTTTCCTCCCTCAGAAACTGCATTGGTCAGAATTTTGCCATGAATGAGATGAAAGCTGTGATATCCCTGGTACTGAGGAGATACCAGCTGATAGAAGACCCCACTCGGAAACCCAAGAAAGCTGCTCGACTGCTGCTTCACTCACTGAATGGCATCCACATCAAGATAAAACCTGTAGACCCATAAGTGTACAGGGAGATAAAAGCAGGAAATACTGTCAACTTGAAAAATACATGATTTAGTACTGAGTACTTTAAGGAGATTAAGTATGTTCATTTCCAATATTTAACTAAGCCTTTAAATTGAACTGATTTATAATCATTTCTCACACTAGAACATTATTTTTAATGAGAGACTTGCATTTTTGATGTGAAAAGGAATAGAACATGTTGTGTTAGGGCATTAACACTAAATCAGTTTGTAATAAATAAGAAATGTGTGAAAAATAACATATTCATGTTTTGTAAGTTGAGTTTTTTATGTTCACTGTCACTGCATAAATTTTTCTGCATAAATTGGTCATAAATTATGATCTGATCTTCACCAAAGTAACAAATATCAAGAAAACACAACATTTCTAAGCTGATAAAACATGACTGTGATGGTGACTGTGGTTCAGTGGATAGAGCAGTTGTCTTCCAACCGGAGGGTCAGAGGTTTGAATCTTGGTTCTTGCAGTCCATATGTCAAAGTGGCCTTGGCCAAGACACTGAATCCCCAGGTTGCCCCCGATGGTTAGAGTCATCAGTGTGAGTTGGCACCGCAGATGGCTGCCTTGGTTCTGTACCTGAGACAGATTCCTTCTGTGTAACATACTTGGCCAAATAAAGGTGATTATTATTATTATACAAACAGTCATGAGCTTTAATGTCTTTAATGAACACACCCATTAAGCATACAAAGTGATCACAGAAAAGGTAATGGAAACAGTAGGCTTCTTATGTCCCCAAATGTCACCTGGAGTCAGCTGTTAGCAAACCTGGAGGCCAATCAATGAAACGAGAATGGTTTAGAACCACCTGGATTAATAAAACCATTCAGTATCAGTGTGCTATTCACAAGCAGCATCAGCTGATGTGAGCCATGCCTCACAAAGAAATCTCAGAAAACCTACAATCAGCAGTTAGTGATTTGCATCTAGCTGGAAAAGGTTAAAGAGTAATCTCTTCAGATATTCATCAGTCCACAGTTAGACATATTTATAAATGGAAATGATTTGGTACTGTGGCTGCTCTCCATAGCAGTCGCGCCCAGCCAAGATGACTCCAAAAGCACAATGCAGAATACTCAATGAAAAAAATGAGCCCTACAGTAACAGCTAAAGACTTTAAAGGATTCATTGGAGCTGGTTAACACCTCTATTCATGAGTCAACCACATGCAAAAACAGGCATGGTGTCCATAGCAGGACGCCACAGAGGAAGCCATTCCTCTCCAAAAACAACACTGCAGTAGCCTGAAGTTTGCCAAAGACCGCCTTGAAACTCCACAATACTACTGGGAAAATGTCCTGTGCACGGATGAAACAAAGGTAGAACTGTTTGGGAAGAACACACAGCACTACATGTGGTGTAAGAGAACCACATATCAACATGAAAACATCACCCCAACAGTGAAGTTTGATGGAGGAAGCATCACTATTTGGGGCTGTTTTGCTGGGTCTGGACCTGGACCGTTTGCCACTGTGGAGGGGAAAATTAATTCCCAAGTTTATCCAAGGTACCTTACAGGATAATGTCAGGGTGGCTGCCTGCAAGCTGAAGCTCAGCACAAGCTGGATGATACTGCTGGACAGTGAATATCAAAGTAAATCTACTGCAGAATGGCTTTAGAGACAAAATCCACCTTTTGGATGTGGCCCAGTATGAGCCCAAACCTCAACCCAATAGAGATGCTGTAGAACGATAAAGAGAGCCATTCACACCAGACGTCCCAGGAATATGGCCGAACTGAAGCAGTTCTATGACGCAGAATGGTCCAAAATTCCTCCTGAATGTTGTGCAGGTCTAATCCACAGCTACAGGAAGTGCTTGCTTGAGGTTATTGCTGCCAAAGGTGGTTCAACCAGTTATTAAAACACTGTTGCCATTACGTTTTCCACTGTCACACTGTATGTTTAATTGGTATGTTCAATAAAGCTTCGACTGTTTGTATTTTATCAGCTTAAAAATATGTTTGTTGATATTTGGTGACTGGTGAAGATCAGATCATGTTTAATGAATTTATGCAGAAAACCAGGAAACTGCAAACAGTGCCATTACTTTTTCTTGTGTAACTCTTCTGCTTACAACTCAACTGAAGCCAAGTGCATAATATTCCTTAGAGTGTTGATCTCCATAACAGTGTCCTGGGAAGGTGTGTACACTGACTCACCTTTGTTCTTGGTCTATATTGTTTGGTAATAAGCAACCCAAGTATTTAATCTAAGAGGACCTTGCATTAGGTATAAATTCACAATACACTGGGTTAATCAAATCAAGTGCAAAGTGACAGCTGAAAACTGTAGAGATATGAGTCAGAACTAATTCATTTTATATTTACAGCCATATGGTTACAAAATCCACACATTCACAAGGACAAATTGTAAAAATGGAACAGCTCACTTTTTATGATGTCTCATCTCCAATCTTTCACTTAGTTAATGATCCAATGTCCCACCTAACAGCCTCTTCTTGAGTAAATAGAAAATGGTCGCGGTGGCCTTGTGGTTAAAATGCACACCATATACCGAGACCACAGTGACCTGAGTGCAATCACAGTTGGACGCCTTTGTTCAGGTTGCTTCCCCTCTCTTATTCCTTACCTCTCTGCTGTCTATTTTCAAAGGAAATGCAAAAATGCCCCCCAAATGACCTTCACACCTGTGTACACTCTGCATGAACCAATTGCCCACCAGCCTTCACCACTTCCCTCTATGTATGGTATAGTTGTGTATTTCTGCTAGTGTGTACAAAGACACAGTTCCTATCTCAAGTCACTCCAGGAAAACAAAGAACAGTATACAGTATAAATTAAACTGTACTCTGCTGCATGTGAAAGATGTTAACATGCTACATAACCATTTAATCCTCCTAAATCCAACTTTTACTAACTTTTCATTTTGCAGTACAATTGGTATTTGTTACTGTGCTAGTATCCATACTGAAATAGTGTTACTACTTAACAAAATGTTAACACTCCAATGAATAACCAAGTGTAGAAAACTGTAAAAATTCTATTTAAAGTGTACTGGTGCTGGGGAAAATGGGCAACAGGGCATTTAAAACTCAATCTACTGAGAAGGCAAAGGACACATATGATCAATATACTGTTTAGACATGGCAAATGGATTTTATCTGCAGAAGGATCGAAAAGAATAACTAGGAAATTGTGGCACCACTTTCAGGGGATGCCACAATTAGACTGGATAAGGTTAAAATTAGCACAACAGAGCATAAACAAATATACTTGCAGCGCTCAAGTCACCATCTAGTGGCTTGTTCCACAAATGCAAGACATTTCTGTTGTCATATTGGTAATGGAAATGTTTCAGTCAATTAACTACATTATATCAATAAATTTTCAAAATAAAAACAGCCCCATGTTATCATATCTGGATTCTCTGACTTCCCTGACTCACAGTAAAATATCTCATATAAATGCACTTTTTGCAATTTGTTTAATAGCATTACCAAAATATTGGAGTGAAAAATGCTGAAACTGGTAAAAAAAAAAAAATAATAATTAAAAAAAAAATTCAAAAACATAACTCAGTGACCCATCATATCTATGAACCCTGTCACTCAGACAAGCATATCTAACTGCCACTCTGAGGCAAATGCTCACTGCCAAGTCTTGTGAATTTATGTCAGTTTAGTTTGCAGTCAATGAGACCGAGTTGTTTTCTGGCTAAAATATCAACTGCTGACTTAGTAATGTAGATGATATCTTTTGATAGACCACAGGGGAACTGTATGTTGCTTTTTTGTGATGACAGTAAATAACACAACAAATAAAAAAAAGAGAGAGAGAGAGAATTGAATGACACCACCACCATCAGATCATAGTCCCTGATGCATCTGCTGGTAACCTGAGAGTCAGCACCTTTAAGAAACTGGTTAGATGAGTAGCGAGGGGGTGGGTTTCTTGCCCGGCCAAGCTTCTTTGGCATACTTCTTTTTGCGTGGCTCATTGTGGGTCTCTGGTAGATAGGGTGCTGTGACAGGGGTGGGGTTGAGTGTGACAGGGGGCTGGGGAGCCTCTGGGGCCAGGTCCACCTCTGGTGCTGGATTAGGGAAGGGGAGCGGAAGCCCGCCCTGCATAGCAGCACCTCCTGGAGCTCCTATTGGCTGGTTCTCATGAGTGGTGGGAGGCAAGTCCCCATAGAGACCACTGGCCGAGCTGTAGCCGTGGATGCGTTTTGAAGCCAGGTCATCAAGACCAAGAGTGTTTTGACCCTCTGATCTCCGTTTCTACA